GGCCAAAATTATTTTTTACCACATACTTTGGCATATATTGGTGAAAAAATGGGGGCATGTTAAGGCACAGTATGCACCATATGAGATACCCTGGAGTGTCTACTTTTACAAATGGTAGGCTTTTGTGTTTTTTTTTTTGAACAGTCAAACTGCTATAATACCCCAAATTGAAGCATAGGCCTATTAAATCCGCCTCTCAAAATTCTACTGTAAATGTTGAAACGGCCAGGTCTCCTATATGGCACTGTAGCTTCATGAAATAGTGCCAAAGACATACAATGGGGGTATCTTTGTACTCAACAGAAGTAACTGAACACAAAATAAAACTTTGTACAGGAATAGCACACACCAACTTTACAAAACACACATGAGAAGTTCTTTGTTATAAGTGTGTGTGCCAAAACCCCCCCCCAAAAAATTTTACTACAATATTTAGCAGAGATTGGCGGTGAAATGGCTACGTAGAAAGTGTCAAAACAACCTTAGGACAATAGCCTGTGATGTCTACTTTATATAAATATGTACTTTTGTGTGGCAATTTTGTTTTCTTTTATGGCTATTAAGCTTACAAGACAAAAATACCAAATTCTAAAATCGCTCCACATTAAACGTTTATTTTACTCCTTGTGCTTTGTGACCTGTAACTACCAAAAAAAACTTTAAATCCCAGACACATTATATATTCTGTAAATCAGAACAACTACAACTAAATGAATTTATTTTTAATTACTTTCTTTAACCTGCACTAATTAGGCACACATTATTATTGCAAAAACTGTACAAAAACAAAAAAAATTTTTTTTAATAATAAATAAGCATTTATATATATATATATGTATATATATATATATATATATATTACATCAAATTAAAGACCTTTCTGTCCTTTAAAAAACAGTATATAATGTGTCGGTGCAATAAACGAGAGAGATGCAAATTGCAGTTGAACGCATACAGCAATAAAATGCAAAAAATGCTTGTCATTAAGCGTAAGACAAGCTTCTGAAGCTGTGTCCTTAAGGGGTTAATTCAAATTAATTATGTTGCTGAGCATGTAAACTGAGAATGAATGCATGAGAAAATTCACTTGAAACCATTTTTGGACTGGCTTAATTTTAGCCATATAATGTTTCGTTCAGCAAAACTTTGGTACAGAAAACCTAATTTTGAAATTGAATCACATGAACCAAAAGGTCATAAAAATGGGCCAATCAGTTTTTTCCAGAAAATATATGCTGTTATTGAATAATATACAGTATTTACATCATACCATATTTTGCTCAAAATAAAATATACTTTAATATTATGTGTATAATTTTCAATACACTGATAGGAGCATTTTCCCACCAGTTGGTTCACAGATAAAAAATAATATTAGAGGGGAAAACAAGAGGATTGGTAAAAAAACAAACAATCCCCCCCCCCCCAAGCCGCCCTATATTTAGATATTATTTTGTGGTGCCACATGGAGGAATCAGAATCACAAATCAAAACTGAACCTTTTCAGTATTCTGTGTTTTATTTGGTCATAATTCAGGTGCCTTTCAGCTCTTCGACCGATCACCTGATCAGCAATAATTCAGATGAATTGCAGTTGGGACCAAAACAAATCTCTTAGTCTGTTAGCATTGTATTGTAACCATGAGTGCCATAGAGGAGAGCAGCACATTGCTCTACTCTCTGTGCTTGAAAGCTACCTTTTATTGGCTTATACCAGTAATAGTTTTGTTTGAATTTTCGAAACCATGACACCATTAAGTGAATACTAAATTACATTGTGGTTCCTATGGTCTCCTGTGAAGTGCTTCTTATCTGACCAGAGCCATTTCCGCCAGTTGGTAAGAAACCGTTTTGGTGTAACCTTGCTTTGACACCACTGTTAAAAAGTATTTTGCAGCAATTTGAAACAATAAAAATAATGGCTAAGCAAGTTTATTTTTGAATGTATGCAGTAATACACATATGTGCAACATATGGGAAAAAAAAACATGCTGAATTTATTTACAGTATAGAGGATTGTATACAATTTTCATGTCTCTGTTTCCAGAAAATATATGCTGTTATTGAATAATATACAGTATTTACATCATACCATATTTTGCTCAAAATAAAACTAAAACAAAGATGCAAAAAGCAGATGATTAAATTAACAAATATAGTGTTATATATAAACATGTATTCCTAAGACTATAGTGCTGGAGTGTCTGTTTAAGTGTCCAGCCCCCCTCAGATTGCAGTAAAAAGGTATTTTACTTACCCTTTCTCCATCGCAATGCCAGCCTCACTGCATCTGGCCCCGCCATCCATTGCTGGGGTCATAAATCTTGAAAGCATTGGGGGAGTTACTGCGCACAATCTCCTCATTTATATATCAATGAATGAATGTATCTCTATGGGAAACATTCAGCATCTCCATAGAGAGCTTGAGACGCTCATCATAGGCACTGCACACAGTGCAGTACTGAGCTAGGAAACACCTCTAGTTACCATCTCAGCGACTGCCACTAGAGGTGTTACTAGGCAGCAATGTAAACACTGCCTTTTCTATGAAAAGGCAGCATTTACATTTAAATGCCTGCATGATCAGGCTATATATACCAGAACCCCTATATTAAGCTGTAGTGTTTCTGGTAAATATAGTGTCCCTGTAAGTAATTTTCATAAGAGAGCTTAACTTTTGGTTAAATAGATTTTTTTCAGTGATAGTGATTTTATATAAAGGAATATATTTAAAACTTTTTTGAAATATTTATTGGCTAAATACCTTTTTTTTAATTTGTTTGAACACCATAAACCTTTTGTACAATTGTTGGTTATTTTTAATAATAGCATTTTCTCTACGTCTGTCAAAAAAGTGTGATCTGACATAACTTCTTTTAGTACCATTCTGAACATAATAAGTTTACATTGCCCAATTATTTTCTAGAAATACAAGAAATGTGCCAAAATGCCTTTTTTCCTTTATTAAAATGTGTAATGTTTTCCCTCCCATTCTGTATTTCTGTTTACTCCTAGCAAATAGTTTAGCAATATTTTACATGAAAATCATTTTAATTTTATGCCCGAGTTCTGTGATTTGCATTAATGTGTTTCTGTCAGTGTGTTTTATGTTTGGCTCCCAGCACTGTGAGCTAATAAGTATTTGAATTTGGCTGTTTAACATTATTTGTCCTCCAGCTTGCTATCTTACAAGTTCCCTAGTGACACAATATTTATGCGTATCCAGTGTTTTAAAATAAAAAAGTAACTAAATATGGATAGGATGATCAAAAAAATCCACTTTTTCTTCTTCTTAATGTATTACCACAAATCTAAAGTAGTCATCCCCATCTGTGGGTTTTAAAAAGACTCTGTGTGCTAAAACTGACAGCCCTTATATTTTACGTGCATTTGTTATTTATTCATCACTGCACTGCACTTGCATAAATACTTTTTAGAAATTCTAAACATGTTTTTTTTTTTCTTTGTTTATGCAGAGTATAATCAACTAGGCCTCCAGTCTGCCATTTCCTTTTCTGATTTAAATCAGTTTCTCTTTTCTGGCCAATAGAAGTGAAGCAATGAATTATGGTAATTATTACTTAAGCACTTTCAGAATACAATAAGTATATTATAGGTCTGCAATGAAAGACATATAGCCCTGTGCACAGACCGCTTCTGCAAATTGAATCCCAGCCTGAGATCGAAAGTCACATTCAGCTTCTTCATAACAGCAACCTTTTACATAAAAAAAAACACTTTTTTAAAATTTCTATCAGCAAAGTCTCCGATGATTTTCATACTATACTCTCAGCATATTTCACCATTGTCATTTTGCAAAATGATTAATTCTCTAAAATTGTGTCACTGCAAAAGTTCAATAACACGTGGTGAACAGTTTTAACGTTTTACCAGTCATTACATTCAATGCATCCACTCCAAAAACCAAACCTAAAACATAGTGTTTAATATAGATTAGAATGAATAATAAAGAATGTGTGTCCTGGATCTAAAATCAGGAACACTAATATTATAAATTAATATACCGGTATGCATTTATATCCTTATTGTGTTCCTTAATGAGTGTGGAAAATAACAATTGTACTCACAACAGCCAAAAACAAAATGGAGGAGTGTTATTTATATATTTATTTTAAAGCTTAACACCTTTAAGGACGAAGCTTAATTTGATTGTTTTTTACTTGCTGACCAAAGTCATTTAGCATGTTTGTGTGTGTTCAAACACAATTTCCATTTTTTTCATTTATTGCTCCAACTCCTATTATATACCATTTAAAAAAAATATAATTCTTTATTTTTGTTGTGCGTGAGATTACAAGGAACAGAAAAACTTGCAGTGCCACGGCAGCATTAGCAAGGATGTTAGAAAAACAATTGACATTACATGTGAGAAAACAGCACATTTTTTTATACTAAGATAGACAGACTGGATATGCATGAGTACACAGTGAAAAAGTAAACAGGCTTGGTATGCATGTATAATAATAATAAAGTATTTAACCAGGAAAGGTACTTTCAGATTACTCTGGATTTCAAGTATGTCGTGGGGATGTTACCTTATCCCAACAACCAGAGGTTGTTACTATTACTTATGAGCACTCAATAGTACTCATTTTATCTACCGTGGAAGGATGAAAGACTGAGTCAACCCTGCCATGATTTGAACCTGCAATCCAGGGGTTGAACAGATTCTTCTGATGTTGCATTAGCCAACTGAGCATTTAAGGAAACAGGCATTTAAGGAAACCAGGCTAGCTCAATTATGCTGTGTTGATGCTGACTCTATATAGTTGCCAGTTGCCTGGTGAGTGTGTTAGGTCTAGGCCCCCTTCTGCTTAAGTGGCATCGAGTCATATGCTGAATACGCTGCCTCCAATGCTTCCACAGTCTCACCGCGCCATGCAGTCACTGTGCTTTCAATCTGGTTATGGAAGTCACTTTCTGGCTTTTAAATACGCTCAGCAATGAAGACATGGACCTGGTAAGTTGTAGTCACTCACCTCCAAATGCCTGCAGACGGCTCTCGAATTTGGACCAGAAGTTCTGGAATATCCTGTTAAGACTCTCTGAGACCGAGGCAAATGTATTACCCAATTCGTATGGGCACAATACGTGCGTCATTTTACTATACGGGAGGTTGCCTCTGTTCTTCAGGGTTTGCTGGTGAGCACCCAATACAGTCCGAGTAGATGCCAAGATAGCCCCGCTGCCAGGGAGTAGGGGAGAACAGTGGAGGACTCCAGGAGCCACATAATCAAAAGCAGCAAGAGCTGGGATCGGCTGCATCCCCCACACCAGCCGCTAGTAGGCCGTTTGTAGTCTGCACCACTCCCAATCCACCAGTCTTGACTAGAATCGATGGTTAGACTCTTTCCCCTAGAGCTGACCTTGGCATTTCTCCAAGTTTATCCAAAGTTGTGAGTTACAAGATTTAAAGCTCAATTTATTTATTATATTTTGGAGCGCCTTAGATATGCATCTTCACAGCATGGCAGTTAGGCTCTGACCCCCTAAATACCCTTTTTTTTTAACAACAAAAGGGGCTTTCATTTAATGTGACATATAAATATATAAATTCTCATTTATTATACAAAAATACACAAAAATAAAACAAAAGTGAAACATTTTTTTTGACAGTATTTGAGATAATGTAGTGAAGCATGAGAAAAGTAATTTCAAATAAATTAATTTTAAATTAATTTACAGAGTACATAATATGTCTAGGATTTTAGTTTTATCTCTGGTAATTACAGGTCACAAAATACAAGGAGTAAACTAAAGTTTTAATGTAGAACGATTTTAGATTTTGGTGTATTTGTCTAGTAAGCCTAAAGCCATCAAAGAAAACAAAATTGCTACACAAAAGTATATTTTTATATAAAGTAGACATCATACACTATCGATAGTGATATGTTTATATAAAAATATATTAGTATACTAAATACCTAGTGGTCTTTTTGACACTTAATATGTAGCCATTTAAGCATCAATTTCTGCTAAATATTGTTGTAAAATGTTTTTTTTTTTTTTCAGGTTTTTAACATCCACAGATATAACTAGTTTTTCAAATTTGACAATTTAATTGAGCACACACCAGTTTGTAATTTACATTTGAGTTGCTTTGGGAACAATGTTTGATTAGCATTACAATAGTATTGTGGCGAAAGTGTAGCGGTACTTACCCTTTCCAGGGGCCGGCCGGGGTCCTCTGTTCGAGCCGCGCGCGGTCCTGCTGCTGCACGAGCCGCGCGCGGCTCAGCCGATCGCTGTGACTAGTAGCGGTCACGTGTTCTGCCTACTCTAAGAGCGCGCCGCGGGTATCGGGCGCGCTCTTAAAGGGACAGTGGGTGCCTAAATTGGAAAAGGCATCCCATTGGTCCCTGTCATGCCACACTCCCCATACACTTACCTTTTGGGGGCGTGGATGTGACAGGGACCAATCAAATTAGATGTTTAGGTATTTATACTCACCTTCTTTCCTTTGTTCCTTGCCCTATCGTGGTTTCTGTATCAGTTCCCTTTAGCGCTTGTTGTGTTCAGTTGTGTTTCTCCGTATTGACCTTTGGCTTTGTTTCTGACTACGTTTTCTCTTTATCCTTATCTGTTCTGGTTGTCGGCTTGTTGTTTACTGTGTACCAGACCCCGGCTTGTCCTAGTTTACGCTGTCTCTCTGTGCCCTTGATTTCGGATTGTTCTTGACTCTGTCTCCTCTCATATACGTCGAGTCCGGCCATTCTAAGGTCCGGTAGACGTATCTCTCCTCTGTGTTGTCTTTTGTTTAGCTGAATCCTGCGTGTTGGGGTATATTCTCGCTACATTACGATAGGGCCATGGACCCCGCAGATTTGGCTCAGCAAATGGCTTCTCACGAGGCAAGGTTTGTAGAGCAGGATCACCGTATGGATCAGATAGCACAGGCTCTCCAGACGCTCTTGTCTAGAACCATTCCTGCAACCGCACCGAACCCTCCTACACCTCATCCTCCCGAAGTATCCAATTCAACCAATGCTTCGCCCCATTTAACACCTCCTCCTAGGTATGGAGGGAAAGCCAAGACATGCAGAGGTTTTATTAATCAAATAGAATTCCACCTTGAGATGTATCCTCATTCCTTTCCCACTGATAGGTCTAAAGTGGGGTTTTTGATGCATCAACTTACTGACAAAGCACTAGAGTGGGCAAATCCTATTTGGGAGGCCAATGGACCTATGGTTCATGATTTCAATAGTTTTCTTGCGGCTTTTCGTAGAACTTTTGACACAACAAAGAGGTCAAAGAATGCCGCAAGAGCATTAATGAGGATTAAACAGGGGTCTAGGTCTGTGGCGGATTATGCTATTCAGTTTCGTACCCTTGCTTCACAGGTAGATTGGACCAATAATGGGTTAACTACTGCGTTCATGGAAGGTTTATCTGACACTATATTAGATGAGGTAGCTGCAAGGGAGCTTCCTATTCCATTAGAGGATCTTATTGACTACCTCATTGATATAGATAATAGAATTCGCGACAGGCTCTATACCAAAAACAAGAATAGACGTCTGGTCACATCTATTAACCCTAGAGTTGATAAACCTGAGAGTGTTAAAGTACCCGAGGAGGAACCCATGCAATTAGGGGTTGCCAAACTCTCGGATACTGAAAAACTACTTAGAAGAAGGAATGGACTCTGCCTATACTGTGGTAGGCGAGACCATATGGTAAGGGAATGTCCTTTGCGTCCGGAAAACTCTCGCACCTAAGACCTTATAGGGGACTGGCCTTGGGTGTGATCTCTAAGTCTCCTAAATTGCCTCCTAATCGTTTGCTTCTCCCTGTTTCCCTTCATACGGGGGTGAGTTGTATAGCAGAATGCATATTAGCCTTGGTTGATTCTGGGGCTGCTGAGAACTTTATTGACTCTGAGTTTGTTACGAAAAATAACATTCCCGTCAGAGAAAGGGAGATACCTTTGGCCATTGAGGCCATAGATGGTAGACCATTAAGTTCTCCAATTGTTACTCATGAAACTGTACCATTACACATGTATACAGGGGTTTTACACTTTGAAACCATTCGATTCCAGGTTATCACATCTCCCTCTTCTCACATTGTGTTAGGGTACCCATGGTTACGTACTCACAATCCCATTTTCGATTGGGAGTCAGGGCAAATAAAATCATGGAGCGATGCCTGCCATGAGTCCTGTACTATTGAAGTCACCCCTTTGAATTCTATTAATGTCCCTACAACTCCTCCTTTGTCCACTGTTATACCCTCTCAGTACTTATTTCTCAAAACTGTCTTCGATAAAAGGGAGGCTGACAAATTACCACCTCACAGACCCTACGATTGTGCTATCGATTTATTGCCTGGCACAATACCTCCAAAGGGCAGGGTGTACCCTTTATCTGTTCAAGAAAACCGTGTCATGGAGGAGTATATTAAGGAATCATTAGAAAAGGGGTTTATTAGGAGATCCTCTTCTCCGGCTGGAGCGGGGTTCTTCTTTGTATCAAAGAAAGAAGGTGATTTAAGACCGTGTATCGATTATAGAGGTCTAAATAAAATCACCATCAAAAATGCATATCCTATACCTTTAATCACAGAATTATTTGACAGACTCAAACATGCTACTGTATTCACTAAATTGGATCTTAGAGGTGCATACAATTTAATACGTATTAAGAAAGACCACGAATGGAAAACGGCATTCAACACTAGATCTGGCCATTACGAGTATACTGTTATGCCATTTGGTCTATGCAATGCCCCAGCAGTATTTCAAGAATTTATCAATGACGTTTTAAGAGACTTTATTCACACATTTGTAATTGTGTACTTAGACGACATATTAATATACTCTACAGATTTACACACTCATCACAGGCATGTTACGACAGTTCTGAAGACCCTTCTTGCTAATGGTCTTTATTGTAAACTGGAAAAATGTCTATTTGACCAATCCGAAGTCCAGTTTTTGGGGTATTTAATTTCCGCTAAAGGTTTTCGTATGGATCCCCAGAAGCTTTCTGCTGTCATGGAATGGCCTCTTCCACAAGGTTTGAAAGCCATTCAGCGTTTTCTTGGTTTCTCTAATTATTATAGACGCTTTATTAAAGGTTTTTCCTCTATTGTAGCGCCTATCACCCGTATGACAAGAAAGGGAGGCAATACTCGTGTCTGGTCTCCCGAGGCACTTCAGGCTTTTGAGTTTCTTAAAACCACATTCGCTTCTGCACCTATTTTACAGCACCCTATCCCCACACTGCCCTATATTCTTGAAGTTGATGCTTCTGATATCGGGGTAGGTGCTGTCTTATCCCAAAGAGAGTCGCCTGAAAAGCCATTGCATTGCATCCTTGTGGCTTCTTCTCCAAACAAATGTCCAAAGCAGAAAAGAATTATGATGTGGGTAATCGCGAACTCCTTGCTATTATTTTAGCACTGAAAGAATGGAGACATTTGTTAGAAGGAACTAAAGATCCTATTCTCATATTTACGGATCATAAGAACTTATCCTACCTTAGTGAGGCTAAAAGACTGTCTTCTCGGCAGGCTAGGTGGTCACTATTTTTGTCCCATTTCAATTACATTATCACCTATAGGCCAGGTGACCGCAACACTAAAGCAGACGCTCTGTCCAGACAGTTCGAAACTGCTGACAAACAGGAGATATATGTTACTCCTGTGATTCCCCCAGAAAGGATAATCGCTACCACTGTTTTGTCTATTTCTTCGTCCCTCTTGCAGGCCATACAAGCGAAACAAAACATGGCACCTAGCGAGAGACCTACTGATAAACTGTTCGTTGATGTTCCCGAGAGACGGGAGATTCTGTCGTTGTATCATGACACTAAGACTGCTGGACATCCTGGTATTTCCAAAACGGTGTCAGCAGTTTCTCGGTATTTTTGGTGGGATTCCTTACGCAAGGATGTCACTGACTATATAGGTGCTTGTACTACTTGTGCCTGTATGAAATCTTCTCGTAGGGTTCCTTGTGTGCTGTTGCATCCGTTACCTATTCCCGAGAGACCTTGGTCTAACCTGTCCATGGATTTTATTGTTGAATTACCTCCCTCGAATGGTAACACAGTTATCCTAATGATAGTGGATCGGTTTTCCAAGATGGCTCACTTTGTGTCTCTTCACAAGCTGCCCACATCCAGGGAACTAGCACTTGTTTTCGCCAGAGAGGTGTTTCGATTACACGGCATTCCCGTATCTATTGTATCTGATAGGGGTAGCCAATTTATTTCCAGGTTCTGGAAAGCCTTTTGTTCGGAAATGGGTATTTCTCTCTC